TGCCTTGTTCTTTGCCAATTCTTTAATGCACTTTGGACTTCCTCCCTGAGTATCATTGGTTCTTGTTCATATGGTACCTCTTGAAATGGTTGAACATTAACCATTTCCTTTTGGTACAATGACTCTGTGGTACATACACACAATGGAATATTATGCTGCCTAGGAGAGTAACAGGGAAGCGGCAAGCTACCACATAACATGGATGAACCTTGAGGACATTATGTTGAGTGAAAGTAGTCAGTCACAAAAGGAGAAATACTGCATAGGACCACTACTGTAAAAGACTAAGAAAAAGAACCCATACTAAAGGGGGAGGGATTCTTTGCTAGTTACCGGGATATTGGGAGTCGGGTGAGGAGATGGAAGGGAAGGTGGAGCACGGGGCAGGAAATAGACACAGGAAAGTTTGGGTGCTAGGAAGGAGGGGAATACACAAGAAGGGGGAGGGGAATGGAAGAACAAGGCAGATGGGAAAACAATTAGGCAGGTTTGCTTGGGCTAAGTGAGACAGAGGTAAATAATGATGTATGCACAACCTTGGAACAACCCCACTCTGGGATATATGGAATCCTGAACCCCATCCAGAATCTTCTGAGCTTGAAATTTTCCACTGGGAAAAACAAGTAGACCAACCTGGAGTGACTAGAAGAACAGAAAATACTTCTTGAAAGAAAGACCAACAGGAAAAATACAAAACAGTAATGTTCTTGATTACTATAAGAACAAGCAAGTTGCTCACCCAGGAGACATTAAGCCAAGTGGTCGGGTCCCCTCAGTGCAAACCCCATTCCAAGACTAAGACTCAATGGGAATACACGCTCTGATTGGCGACTACGCTCTTCACCAATAAGGAGAAGTGAGGGGAAAACAGCAATGAAGCTGCGAGCTAAGCCCTACAATGTTCAAAAGACTCCTGTGAACTCGGGTGGACAGGTTGGCCAGCAGTGTGGCAAGACCTGGGGACTCTTGGGTCCTGAGTCAGTGACATAGCCACAGAGGCCTAGAGTGGAGAGTGAAGCGTCTAGCTGATAAGAAGAGAGGGCATATGCACAAGAACACCCACCCTTGCAGATAATACCCACTTGACCTGGCTTCAATGACTGCATGATCAGAGCTCAACTAGAAGAAAGAAAAGGTTGGTTGATGATGCATGGAGGGGATTGTAACCATGGCAGTGAAATGATATATGATAGGATGAATGTAAAACTAATATTCTCCCATGTAAACGATCACATAATTCACAATAAAACATTTAAAAGAAAAAGACTAGTGGTGGTGGTGGTGTGCTGTGGAGTTGGTTCCGACTCCTAACAACCATCTATAGGGTTTCCAAGGCTGTACGTCTTTACAGGAGCAAAAAGCCTGCTAGTTTCGAACTGCTGACCTTGAGGTTAGCAGCCCACCTTCTAAGTAAAAGATAAGGAATCCTGGTGTGGCACTGTTGGATAAGCACTGGTTCAAGCCCACCAGGTGCTCCTTAGAAACTCTACACAGTGTCACTATGAATCAGAACCGACCCCACAGCACTTATCAACCAGCAGGTAATGTCTACAGCATACTGGACAGTGTTCCCCAGAGAGACAGGCAGGGCAGGGCCTGGCCAGTGAAGTAACTGGAGAGGTGAGGGATGTGCCCCTCAGCCCTGACAAAAACACACACCCCCAAACACAGGGAGCAGCCAATGTAGCTAGCGTAGGGTGCCTAGGGCACAGTACAGAGTCTGCGGGCTGGAGGGAGCAGGCCCGACCTAGCAGGAGTGGCCGGCAAGGCCGGGGGCACCCTCAGAAGCCAGTGCTTTGGCTTTAGTGTGGTTATGAATCGGGCTCAATTAAGCCTCAAGGTCAGCAGTTTGAAACTACCAGCTGTTCCACAGGAGAAAGATGAGGCTTTCTGCTCCCGTAAAGATTTACGGCCTCAGAAACCCCGTACAGGGTCGCTATCAGCCCGAACCGACTCCACGGCATATAACCACCACCGCCACCATTTATATACATGAGTCCTGGTGTGGCGCTGTGGGCTAATGCATCAGACTGCAAAGTCAAGTCATTTTAACTGCAAGGTTGGTGCTTCAAGCTCACCACCTGCTCCTTGGAAACCCTACACAGGGTCACTATGGGTAGGAATTGACTCAACAGCACTGAACAAGAGGGATGGGAAAGGAAACCTCTGCTGAATTCTGAGCTGAGGAAAGGTGTTGTCTGACTTGTTTTGAGAGAATCCTCTGGCGGCTAAGTAGAGACCAGACTGGAACGGAGACAACTGGTAGGACCCAGGAGGACTCTGGGGTGTGGATACAAATTTAGAATCAGTGGGGATGGTATTTAAAGCCTTCAGGCTGGGTGAGATCACTGGGTGAGAGCACATGGAGAAGGCGGGTCGGTAGAGATGGAGCTCCTCCCTAGGCAGCTGGGGTACTGCACTCAGTCAGAGCTTGTTGACAATCCAGCCAGCAGTGACTGGGCATCTCCGCTGTGCCAGGCTCTGGACTAAGTGACCCCCTGCAGGAATCCGTCAGCAAATGTGTGTGTCTGTCACAAGAAGAGTTTCTGCCATGACTTTCAGCTAGAGATTTGCAGGGACTGAGGACAAATGATCCATTAACAGCATCCACTTAGGATGTGGCCTTTGTAGCACCAGAGAGTCCCCAACACTGTGCTGAGACAAGGTGGGCAGACTCTTACTACACAGATGTCAAGAAATACAGACAGTCATTGCCATAAGGGCTGAGGGTTTGGGGCCCCCAATCTGATATTGGGGCCCACAATGCCCCTCCAAGTCCCAGAGAGCACTAGGGTGAGACCCCGAGACAGGCTGAAGGGGTAAGGTCAGGGGACAAGGGGGCATTTATTGTCGGGGGTTGGCAGTGAGTGTTGAGGGGCTAAGGGTAGTCTCTGGTTTGCCCCTTGAAAATAAACCAGTTCTGACTCACGGTGACCCCATGTATTATAGAGCGTAAGGGGGCTTCAAAAAGTTCATGGAAAAATTCCAGTATCTTTTAACTCCATTTTCCCATAAATTTTTTGAAGCTCCTTTGTAGAACTCTGCTCCATGCAGTTTTCTCGGCTATGATCTTAATCAGATTCCCAGGCCTTTCTTACTCAACACTGCCTTTAGGTTAGTAGAGCAAATCACGGGCACCACCCAAGGACCTTGGTGATATTTTAGAAGAAGGCTGGGCCTCAGGGAGAACACCGTTTCTTTTTCAGGCCTTGTTCCCCCTCACCTTAGGCCTAAAGGGTCAGCATGGACATGGTTAGGGTTAGGGTTAGGGCTAGGACTAGGGCTGTTAGGGTTAGGGCTGGTGACCACCTGCCTGCACCCTTGGCAAAGACCTGACTCTGCTGTTCTGGGAGCTTAGCAGGGTGCCAACAAGAGACGTGTCTGACATCCTGGGAGCTACGTACGGGGTGAGCTCCCCAGCATCCTGCCAGGGGCCTGCATTCAAGCTCAGTGCTGACAACACCCCAGTAACGCCCAGGAGGCAGTGACCACAGCCCAGAGGACACCTTTCCACTTGTATCTTGGTCCGATTTTTATGAAAATGTTGGTCTGAATGGAGGACCTTTAGGAGGGTTTGGGGTTGCAGGGAGGGAGGCCAGTGTTCTGTGGGAATGAGAGTAGGAAAACAGGGAACACTCAGCCTCATTTATAATGTGGCCTTGGGCCAGTTCAGGTGTTGACGCTACAATGTTTTATAATGTGGGGAGCATATTTACAAAATAATGACTATTTAAAAAAAAAAAAAAAATTTTTCAAAGCACCTTTACACACCCCATGAGCTCCCAGCCACCTCAGGAGGCCACTAGACTGAGAATGTGATGCTCAGAGACATCAAAGCAGCTAAGCCAGAATGTGACAAATCACAAGGACAGTCCGGGTGTCCTGACTCCTCATCCATTGTCCCCACCCCCACCCCCCTGCCTCCCCCACCCCACTCCGTGGGTCAAGAGGAACAAATGCTGAAATCTCAAACGGAGGCCGGGCTGCATGGGGCCTTAATGAAGATGACCACTAGGCAGAGAACAGTCCGGCTATATAGAGTCTAAGGTCACTCACAAGAGTGAGAGAGGACACTTTAAACATCAGAAAGAGCAAAAACCATTAACATGCATTTAAAATCTTTAGAGTGAGAAACATAGCTTCAAAATTGTAATTTACACTGAAGCAAGGATGGGGGGAAGAAACCAAAAAGACTAAGAGGGGTCAAGACCCCGAGTCATTCCTTTCAAACCAACACCAAACACATAGCCGGAGAGTTGACTCTGATGCCTCACAACTACCCTCAGGGTTTCAAGGGTGTACATCTTGTCGGGAGCACACTGCTTCAGCTGTCGCCCTAAGAGCATCTGGTGGGTTTGAACCAAAGACCTTGCGGTTAGCTGCCCAATGCGGAACCCAGTGTCCACCAGGGTCCTCTCTGCCCCCATCCCTGCCATTCAACAACACTAGCCCAGAGGGTTACAGCACCTGCTCTCAAGTCTCACCTGTGGCTCTGCTTTCTCCCCAGGTACCGTGTGGTGGTCTCGTACCCCCCTCAGAGCGAGGCGGAGATTGAGCTGAAGGAAGGTGACATTGTGTTCGTGCACAAGAAACGCGAGGACGGCTGGTACAAGGGGACCCTGCAGCGGAACGGCCGCACCGGCCTCTTCCCGGGCAGCTTTGTGGAGAGCTTCTGAGGACCTGCCCTCCCCGGACACCCCACCTCACCAAGGAGGAAGACTTTCCCTGGAAGCCCCCGTGGCACAGGACGCGAAAGAAAGGGCCATTCCGAGGGTCGCAGGCCATGTGGCAAGTGAACTTTGAGACTCTTGGGCCACGTGCTTGAGAGGAGGGGTGGTGAGGTCCTGGAACCCCCACCTGCAAGCACACACACTCTGGGGTAGTTCAACAAACTGCCAACTCCCTCCGTGTACATTGTAAAGAAAATCTCTTTTAAAAAGAAGAAGATGACGATGATGCAAGTTGATCTGTTGCTGTATGTTCGTGTTTGCTGCCTATGCAAGATGGAGCGGAAGGGTGCTGGGTGCACTGATGCCTGTGGTCTGGGGCTGGCAAGGTGGATTTAGGGACCAAGAGTTGGGCGAATGTACAGGCCTGCCCTGGGGATTCCAGTCAAGTTGCTACATCACCGGAATTCCTGTACACCTCAGTAACCTGCTGCCTCATCATACAGCCAGGTTGCTCACGGCCCAGAGGTGGAGGGTCCTGGCTGATGTGCCTGGGGAGGGCCTCGATAGCCCACCACCCAGCTCTGATTGGGGATGGGAGCACAGTCCTCTGTCTTTGTCTCCTGCCGATATTATAAGCAACCATCTTTGGTTTGGCCGCCATTACCTCTCTCCATCGCTTCTTTCTTACAACGTATCTTTTTAACGTAAAGCTGTTAGATTTTATATATTTCTAATAGGTCATACGGTGCCTATTTTTTCATACATCTGGTGCTGCCTTTTTTGTAAAACTAGTACTTGGTTGAGCTTGAAAGAAAAAATGTCTGAGGCAACATCAAACGGGCAGAATTTTTATATTAACCATATGAATTTTGGAGAAGTCTGAAAAGCCCGTACCCTCAACATCAAAACGTTGGCTATTTCTCCATGGGGTAAAAGAGACTCCACTCAGGGTTGGGAGGAGGTGAGAGTTTGGAAAAATCCAGTTTCTGTAAACCTTTTACCAAAACCCCATGTTCTGTCTAGACAGTGATATTATTATTCAAGAATTGGAAACATTTCTAGGAAGGGTCATTGTAACTGCTGGTCTTGTGGCTGTCAGGAGAAGACCACAGATCCACCCCAGCCCAGGAAGGCGGACTTTTCTCTAGTTATGACTCCAGAGAGAATGACTGTAATTAGCATTATCAAAATATGATTTCTTGCTCTAGAAAGGTACAAAATATGATTTCCTGTTCTAGATTTACCACCTTGTGAAGAAGAACCTTTCACAAGATGGTGAGTCTGAAGCTTTTACCACAGTTCAGATTCACCACCTTGTGAAGTGTTCTTCATTTAAATGAATAAATGTTCCCATATCAGGCAACACAAATCTTCATGGGCTAGAGACAAGATGATTTAAAGTGTCCAGGCAAACTCAGAGGATCAACTGTAATGGTTGAACTCCAAGGGGAGCTGAGCAAAGAGAGAGAGGAACAGGGGCAGCTTTGACCGTGAGCTCTTCAACTAAGTGGGGTTGAGGGAAAGTTACCCTTTCGTCAAGCTGCTCTCCCCCACAAAAGCCGACTAGCAGAGCCTCTCATGAAACTATTTTATTCTCCAGAGATTCATACCTTAACATCTTAACGGGTTCAAAGTCACAATTTGTAACCCCTCTCCCTACATAGACATATACAAAAAACTACTCAGACTTAAATTAAGCTGAATAAAATTAGCCTATGGTGACTGAAGGTCTCCCTGGTTTTCAAGGATGCAACACATTCTACAAATACAGTCTCTCGCCTGCCATGAGGCCTTTGAAATACAGAGTGGTGCTTATTTTCAGAGTTCCTATTTTGGGAAGTAACTTGGCTATTGGTTACTGCCAGGTGGCTACCAGACTCACAAGATCCTGCTTACAAGAAGGCATTTTCTCTCATTCCAGATGAAAATAGATTTAAGAAATTCGTTCTGAAACCAAGAGGAAGAAAAATCTGGTTTACACATAAGGAGCCCTGTGTGCTGAGTTAATCAAAACCTCAGAGTATCTATTTGCCATCGGTTGCCAAATTATTTGCCTGACACGCACAAAAGTCATGTGTGTGTTTAAAACCATATTGTCACCAAGAATGAGCATGATTTAACACGAGACTGACCTGCTTGCTCTCCAATAAAGCCAGAATTAAGTTTCCAAGTAATAAGGACAATCTTTCAAAACAGATTGATTTGATTGGGACTCTAATATCCCTCCTGACCACTGTTCATATGGTAGTGGTGGTGTTAAGGATGTCAAGATGAATTTGCATGAATAGGGACCCCATTTGACAAAATAGAACTGCCCCCTAGGCTTTCCTAGGCCGGTGGCTAGGCCAGTGCATACTGGGTAATGTATTCTATGTTGTATGGAGAGAGTTGAGTCAAGTTTCCAAATGTCTTTAGAAGATATCACTTGGTTCCCTCTCGTGACAGAGTCCGTGGGTGGGCATTGTTACCGCCTGGGGAGGGAGAAGGAAAACGCCCAGTCCAAAGCACCAGAATCATCCTCCCACAGGATTTCCTGGGCGCCAACTCCTAGCTGCAGAAGAGATGTAGAAATGGACAAGCAGACCACATGCTTCACGATGAGTATTTGAAAATACAAACTGCTCATTTTCATGAAGATTTGAATTAATTCTTTCTTTGAGCTATCTCGCCTGGAAGGGAGGACTATTTAGCTATTAAGATGAAATCAATACCTTGCTTGAAACCCTCGTGTTCCAACCTGACCCACAATTTATACATGTTAGTTGTGGAGTAGCATCTTCATGGCCAAGGTGTTTTGCTTTGAAAGCACAGTGCAATGTCTACAGCCACTAGTATGCACCATTGGTGGAAACTAAGGTTACAGAACACAGCCCAGGTCACCAGAGAGCTGGCTGCTCTTACGTGGCAGGAGTTGGGAGGCAGAGGGGACCAAGGGAGGCAGGGGAGTTGGTATACAAGCGCTTTCCAGGGCAAAAGGCATTCTCTTGGCCACCTTGTGATGTGAATGTTAGTCTTTGTGCTCCCCAAGCTCAGCTGACTGAGAAATTCTTTGTTCTTTGCACAGTTCACACACACATACACACACACACAAATGTTTTTGTCAAATGAAAATGTCAACATGTGATTTGGGAAGAATTGACAGTGATAACAAAACTATGATGCCTGTGTTTCTGAGTCTTCAAATAAAAATGAACGTGGAGAGAGCTCATGTCGGGTGACTTCTTTTCTTGGCTGTGGAAGCAGCTGTGGGGTTGAGGGACACAGAGTCTGTAATGGTTTGAGGAAGAAAACCCCAGCCCTGAATAAGGACAGCAATCAAAAAGGCCTCCCACATGTTCACAGGGGCCAACTCCGTGACTGGATTGGAGGTGAGGTCACATGCATACCTTCTGCCTCAGGAGGTTTCCCATATGGGAACGTAGCCACATTCCCACCAGGGCAGGTGGGCTGACCAGCATGTGACATCCTATGACCACATGGAGCACATGTGGAAGATCCACTTGCTGGACCTGAGGGAATACAGCCACAGAAATGAGAGGCTGACCCAGGCTCACAATGATTCTAGGGAGTTTATTTGTCTAGAAAAGTGTTTCATGTCAAGACCCTGTGTGAAGCCAGCCAGGAGTGCCAGTATTTATCCCCAAGAAGAGCATGTTCGTGGTATTTGCCCATCTTCCAGACCTTGTCTCTGACCATTGGAGTGGAGCTATGGGAAGGTTGTTCTCTGAAGCACAGATGCAAGGTACATGGGATCGTACCAATAGGAAGAGCCTCAGGAGAGATGCCAACTTCCATAAAGGTGGCTCTGTCCCCAGTAGCCTAGGACAGTCTGACAGAGAGCTACCCTGACTGCCTTAAAGAGACAGCTCATTGTTTCCTGGATAGGCTTCCTCCATCGCCCCCACGGTGGAGACGTGTGCCTATATTATTAGACTTGTTTTCTTTTCTTTGGAGCAGTTAGAAAGTTTAGAAAAGAGCCATTTTACTATTCTGTAAAAATTAAATAAGCCTGTGTGAAATCAAATAACAAAGCATGACTAGTATGTGGGGAATTAGTGAGATGCTTAGCATTGTAGTAGAATGTGTGTTGCATGCTCATTGAACCCGTATAACAACCCTGCCGGGAAAGCACTCGCATTGTCCAAATCTGCTAGATGAGCAGTCAAGGTCAGCAGAGATTAAATAATATGCCCAAAACAAACTGAAATTAAAAGCAGAGATTAAATAATATGCCCAAAACAAACTGAAATTAACAATACTATGAAGAGTTGTACTCCAACAAATTTGAAAACTTAGGATACATTTTTAGAAAAACACGACCTACATAAACTTCCACAGAGTGAAGTAGAAAACCTGAACACACCCATACAAAAGGAAGTCGATCCGGTCATCAAAAAATTCCCAACCAAAAGAACTCCAGGTCCAGATGGCTTCACTGGTGACTTCTAACTAACATTCTGGGAAGAGCTGTCACCAATTCTACTCAAATTATTCCAGAATATAGAAGAGGATGGAAAAATTCCTAGTACATTTTATGAAGCAATCATAACCCTCACACCAAAACCAGGAAAGGACATCACAAAGAAAGAAAATTATAGACCAATATCCCTCATGAACATAGATGCAAAAACTCTGAACAAAATCCTAGCCAACAGAACGTGACAATACAAAAATAATAATACATCATCAATAAGTGGGATTCATATCAGGGATGCAAGGATGGTTCAACATTAGAAAAACAATGTAATCCACCATGTAAATAAGAAAAAAGGAAAGAAACATGATTGTATCGATTGATGCAGAAAAGGCATTTGACAAATCCAACATCCATTCCTAATAAAAAACAATAAAAAAAATAGAACTTGAAGGGAAAGTCATCAACATAATTAAGAGCACATATACAAAACCAACAGCCTACATTACTCTCAATGGAGAGCAACTGAAAGCCTTTCCTCTGAAAACGGGAACCAGACAAGGATGCCCTTTGTCACCGCTCCTATTCAATA